GTGGTGGGCGCTTCGGTGCATGGGGGAAGGTTGTGGGTGTGGGATCTCCCCGCTGCGGGAGCGACGGGCTTGGGTTGGCTCCTCGGCCCCATCTCCCTCCAGGAGGTGGAGAAAACGGGACTCGTTTTCCGCTCTGCCTACCGGGAGATCTTTTGCAGAATGCGCTTGGGGTCACTAAGTGCCCAGCGCCATCCCTGAGTTACAAGCAGCTTGAAAATATCTTTTAAGCCTCTTTGAGTGACTTTCATTTGTCTATAGTTGTATGTCACATGCGGTTATGATGTAAGATACACCTTTTCTCAAACGTTTGCTTTGTTCTCCTTAAAACACAAAGACAACATTTCCTAATTCAGTGATGCCAGCTCTCTGGCAAAGTGGGCTGTGAAGAGGCTCTCTAGAGCTATAGGTGACCTGATGAAAATATACCTAGCGAATGTCATGATACAAGCAAACAATATTTTGTTTTCTGTTAAGATACAATGTGATATGCATGGTCAAAGTGTAACTGCTGTAGCATCATCATGGATGCATGTAACATAAAATAATGGGTATATATGGATATTTTAACATCATACTAGGAGCACAGATCAGCTTTTCTAGGTGAAGGAATATGCTTCTGGCTTGTTCACGTGTCGTGGTTTAGCCCAACTGGCAACTAAATGACACATGCTCATCCTCCCCCCACCCCTGGGGAGTGGGGAAGAGAATTAAAGGGGAAAAGGGAAGCAAATTTGTGGGTTGAGATAAGTAAAATTTAATAGTAATAATATGAAAGTAATTATGATAATATATGAAAATATATGTGTGCATAATTATAATAATATACACAAACAAGTGATGCACCGTGTAATTGCTCACTTCCCGGTGACCCGTGCATGTCCCGTCCCAGCAAACGCTTCTGAAACAAATGAGTCCTGACACCACAATGCTGGACGAGTGAGAGGCCCAAAAAGAGAGTGAGAGGGAGATAGCACTCTGAAAGACTGAGAGTGAGAGCCCCCACAAGAGCAAGATCCCAGAAGAGCAAAAGCCCTTCTTTCTGGTCAACCCTCATCTATATGCTAGACATGACGTTGCACGATGTGTAATACTTCATTGGCCAATTTAGCCCTCAATCCTAAATTGGAATAAGGGGATTTCTGGACCCTTTGTCACAGCTGTGCTTCCCCCTTAGCCTGTTGTGTGCCTGCACACGGGCAAGAACACGGCAGCTGAAAAGTCCTTGCTGACTCAGTGCCAAATATAAACATCAGTGCACTATCAACATTCTTCTCTTAAGGAGTCCCAGACTAAAACCAAAACACAGAGCTCTTCTAGCTGCTAAAAAGAAAAACTGATTCTATCCCAGTCAAAACTATGACAATGTGGCATATTTAATGTCTGACCATATGATGAAAAAGGGCTGGAGAGTATCCCAGTAAAAATGGGGTAAACAGTAGGCTGGGGTCCAAATGAGTTATTGTAAGAGTTTGTTGGCGAATCATAGAATGGCATAGGCTGGGAGGGACCTCAGAGATCATCTAATCCAACCTCCCTGTCATGGGCAGGGGCGCCTCTCAGCTAGATCAGGCTACTCAAGGCTCCGTCCAGCCTGGCCTTGAACACCTCCAGAGAGGGGGCATCCACAACTTCTCTGTGCAATTTATTCCAAAGTCTTACCACCCTTATACTGAAGAATTTCTTCCTAAGATCTAATCTAAATCTGTTCTCCTTAAACCCATTTCCCCTTGTCCCATTAGTGGACACTCTTGTAAAAAGTCCCTCCCCAGCCTTCCTGTAGGTTCCCTTCAGGTATTGGAAGGCAGCTATTAGGTTCCCCCGAAGTCTTCTCTTTTCAAGGCTGAATGTTTGCTTATGTCTGTTTTCAGACTGAGAGGTATTGTTTAAGCTCCTGCTCCTACAGAAACCTTTGTTCACACATAACTTTTGAGTAGTGGCATTTATATGCTTAAAATTTCTGCAGTATCAGGGCGTTTTTTTTCTGCAGTCTGAAGGCCTGCATTATTCTTATGAAGTAAAATGGGAAATGTGATTAGTCTCATTAAGATTTCGCAGATTAGGAAACAATGAGGTAAAGATAGAGAAAGAGAATATAAACTCTGTTTTTGTAAAATTCTTTAGAAGAAGTCTAATCTTTTGTTGTTCTTAATTGCAGGTAGCCCTACTGTTTCTGGTATGTCAGATATGGATTATCCTTTGCAAGGACCAGGCTTGCTATCAATACCAAATCTTCCAGAGATCAGCTCTGTCCGCAGAGTCCCACTTCCACCAGAGCTAGTGGAGCAGTTTGGGCGTATCCTTATGAAAAATGAAGTGTTAGTTTCTATATGTCGTAATATTAGGAACAAGCTTCTTTCTTCCATGATCCTCTTCCCTGGTCTTTCTGTCAGACACCAGGTAGTGAACTTTACTATTGTTTACATTCCCCTCATAAGGCTCCAAGTGGTAGAAAGGTCAATTTGTGTAGAGTTGCCGGTGGAATTAGTTTCTGTATGAAGAACTTTCAGTCTTTATGGTACAAAATTTATGTACTGTTGTATCTAAAGTAATATAATTTTTTTTAAATGCTGCAAAGAGGATTTTGCCTTTGCTAGTCAAAATGCATTCAGTCCTTACATCAGCAATGCTTCAGATATGCAATGCAATTGTATGATGGGAGTATTTCCAGAAATCAACAGAGCTTGGCTGACCATCGACAGCGACATTTTTATGTGGAACTACGAAGACGGGTATGTAGAGTGCACGTTCCTGATGATACTTTGTTGGTGGTATACCAGAATTAAGCAATTGCACTAGTGTGAGATTTTTACTGGCAGCACAGAGGTGTGCTGTTCAGTTCAACTTACATTCGTTCCTTTTAGGTTTTACTGAAACTTTTGAATAATAAATGTTAAAGGATTTTTAAGAGTTAGCAAATTGCTGCATAGCAACATACGTATTGTTGCATTTCCGAAGAAGATTAAAGTCCAGTGGCTCCCATAGCTTGTATCTACACATTCATGTTGTGTCGCAGTGTATTAAATGCGTGGTTGTTAATCACAAAGTGCTGGGGAGGAGGCTGGGAATTCTTGCTGTAGATAATTTTCATGGGGAAAAAAAAAATTCATGTAAGTTCCTCCCTCTTGATATGGATCAACATTGTGTGATTCAGAGTAGGCTGTATGAATTAACCAAATCCAAAAATATAAAATACTGCAGTTGGGTTTCAGGTTTGAAACTGAGCTATAGGGGCTCCAAGCAGCTCAAATGATTGCCTGTCCAGTTTTGCTGTGAAAATTCCCTGTCATTCCATTCTGCTGGACCTGCTTCACCCAAATCAAAAGATATAAATGGCTGCAGTGTTACAATAAGTATTAGTAATTTTTAAATATACAAAATCTGATTTTATGTATTTTGTTATTATGTGATACTGTGTGACAAGTTTTATGCAGGTGTTTTGTTTTTTTTTTCTTTGTTGTTGTCAGTGGAGATCTGGCTTATTTTGATGGCCTTAGTGAAACTATTCTTGCAGTGGGTCTTGTGAAGCCAAAAGGAGGTAAGGAATATCTGACAGTGACTAGAATTAGGCAGTTACTGAACCTTCTGTATATCTTTTTTTGTATATGCATATGTTTAAATCTATGTCCTGTGTGTGTATATGTATACACAAGATTCATGGGTTTGTTTCATTTTTAGAAATAGTATGGAATTAATCACAGGCCAAAAATAGTACATAATTTGACAATCATTTACACTGACAAGCTTCACATTTTTGCCACATTTTACTCTTAACATTTGTACTGTTCATAAATTTACACATCCATGTGATAACTTCCCTGAGATCCTGGTTTCTAGCGCTCCCAGTTCTTTTGGTAGCTACTGCTTAGGTAACATCAAAGTCAAAGTTGAATTGTCAATAGGGTTGAATTTAAAAGAAGCACTTTTATGAGAAAAATGTTATTTTGAAGATCTTGTATTTCATGAACTAGAAAATGAGCTGCTGACAGATTCTACTTTCTAATTCCAGAAGTTCACAGATCATTAGGTCTTAAATATGACTTCCCTCTAATCAGTCTTTTTGATGGATACATTTGGTGTATTGCTGTGATCTGAGAGGTTATCTGCAAACTAAAATTTTATTTTCTCCCCATCTTTAGGTATCTTCCAGCCTCATATACGACACTTACTTGTTCTGGCTACCCCCGTGGATATTGTGATTTTAGGGCTCAGTTGTGCTAACATACAAGCAGGTAATTCTCTCCTCTCCCCTCGTTCTCAGTTGTGCATTAACAAGTCTACATGGCTGTTTTATTGGTAGCTGTCTAAAAAATCAAAGCAAAGAAAAACAAGACCATATGCTAAGCACCTTGCTAGCTTTTAAAGTGGACAAGGGGAAATAGTGTTTGTGAGGTGTGCACTTGCTGGATCGTAGACTACAATAGGAGCGTTGAGTTGTGTTATTCACCTGTTTAACATAAAAAGAGCATTTGAAACAGGTACTCCTATTACTGAAATGGCATGTTGGAGAGGGAGAGAAGAGATAGCGTGAATCTTGGAGCTGGTGAATACAGTTCATTAACTTAGTTGGCATTTGTTTTCCAACCACAGAAACTGAGAACCTGATGCTGTTTTTTTATGCCATATATATTAATAGTGAAAATACAGAATTGTTTGGAGAAAGTGAGAGGATTACAGTCTTTTGCTCTTTTTATACTATCCTGATGTAAGAGAGTAAAAAAAGTAGAAATCCATGTTTAGACTTGTCACGATTTTGAGGAGATGACAATGTATAAAAACGAAAAACATTGCGTTCCTTACTTGGAAACATACAGAGAATTTATTTTTTTAAAAAAACGGAATATTTATTACTCTGCAGTTCACTTCGGAGAACAGCTATTCCAGAACGTGTTTAGGAATTATGAAATATGCTGTAATTTTTGCTGTATTCTGAAATGCTTGTTATAACAGACCTTATTAGAATACTTATGAGAACAGCTTAAAAACTAAAGAGGATTTACTGATTTATTTATTTGTTTAAGGTACTGGATCGCTCAATGACAGTATGTCTGGCGGAATGCAGCTGCTCCCAGACCCTCTCTATTCGCTCCCTACTGACAATACTTACATTCTGGCAATAACTTCCACTGATAACGGACGTATCTTTTTGGCTGGAAAAGACGGCTGCTTATATGAAGTAGCTTACCAGGTGACTATAGGTTTTACACACAGGCATTTTTCATTATTTCATGGTTGTGGAATCTAGGTACTAAGAGTTCTAAAACATGTCAGGATTGCCATCTTTTTTCTTCCATAGTTACACTGCGTGGCTTAGTTTCACAACAGCTCTGACATCTTAGACTAGATGCAATTTCCTTGAAGAAGTAGTAAAAAAATGAAATGAAAATTGTGGCAGCCTGCACCCTTTCTAATGTAAAATTTTCCTTTTAATGAGCACTTACTTCTTTCAACTCTATGTACTTTTTCGGTTAAATAAATTTTGTATAGTTAGATTTTTACTTGGTTTTATACTTCTGCTAACGACTTTTTGAATATAACTACTAGTTTGGTTTTTGTTTTGTTTTTTCTTTCAACACTGTATTTGTTTTAAATTGTAGGCTGAAGCAGGCTGGTTCAGCCAGCGCTGTAGAAAAATTAATCATTCAAAGAGTGCGCTGTCTTTCCTTATTCCTTCATTGCTACAGTTCACGTTCTCAGAGGATGGTAAGTACTGATGTCAAAGACTTACCTGATAATTTAATGTAACCTTTTAAATAATACTAGCAAGAGGTCAGGCTGAATAATTTGCTCATTCAGAGCATTTAGTTATTGTTAATGAAACTTGCAGTGTTTGATGATTATAAAAATCAGGTCACTTCTTTGTGTGTTTACTTCAGGATGTAGATACCGAAGCCAAACCAAAGTTTAATGTTTGTGTCTAAAGCTAGCGTTCTGTAGTACAAAATTAATATGTGCTTAATGTGATCACTGCCAACAGTAGCATCTTTAAGTAAATAATTTGACCCTGTTTAACTGTTGAGTGAAAAAAATAATTTGAAATTATTATACCGTTTTTTGCCCTTTTTTTTAGTTCAGTAATAATTGTGTGAAATTGATTGTTGCTTTAAAGGACTTCCTGTAGGAGTCCTTAATGCCACTCCTGCAGTTTTTGTTAACTTACAATTAATTATTACATGCATATTCTGTCTTAAACTTGTTTTTGCCAAATCCAGTTTTGATTTGCTGGTTCTCCCTCTTTTTCCCCCCACTCCTCAGATCCTGTAGTTCAAATCGCCATTGACAACTCTCGAAATATCTTATACACTCGTTCAGAAAAAGGAGTGCTGCAAGTATGTGACTTCTTCTTGTGACTGTTGGCTATGTTACTAGTGTGTTTATAACTTTTTAACTTTTCCTCAGTACCTTGAAATTCTCAGTAGCTATGATAGGATATTATTCCAGCTTATCTTTTTGTAGCAAAGTGTGTGCCGAAGACCTAAAATACTTTCTTCTGAGGAAAGAGTAGCCTTTTGATCTTCCCCTCAGCTATATGGAAACATGAGGATGAAGTAAAAATAAGAGTTTGGGTTGCTGCTTGATAGATAAGGCTGTATGAATTAGTTCAATTGTAAATCGCTAAAGCAAGTTATTGAATTGCAGGTTTACGATTTGGGACAAGATGGTCAAGGAATGACCAGGGTTACTTCTCTTTCACAAAATGCTATAGTTTCTGCTGCTGCGAGCATTGCCAGGTATGTTTATAACAATTATAATGTAAGAAGCTTTCTTTAGGGCCAATAGTTTCAAGCTATATTTTAGAAGAATGTTGTTTGCTTGTTTCTTTCGATTGACGGAGTGTGGGTTTTTTTTGTTCTGCTTTTTAGAACCATAGATCGTTCTGTATTTAAGCCTATTGTTGAAATAGCAGTGATTGAAAAGTCTGAATCCATAGACTGTCAGCTACTCGCAATCACACACACAGGTAAGAAAGCAATGCTAATTCCCTTGCCTTTTAAACTGACAAATGGCATCTACACAGTTTAGCAACATTGTGACCTTTTTTTATCTTTCCTTCAGGTGTCCGACTGTATTTTAGTACTTCGCAATTTAAGCATCCAACAGCTCGTCCCTCCATGTTAACTTTGGTTCATGTCCGTTTGCCACCTGGATTTTCAGCTTCTTCCAATGTGGAGAAGCCCGCAAAGGTTCACAGAGCTCTTTATAGCAAAGGTAAGCGGTGGAACGTGGCTCAGATGACACTGATGATTTTTTTGTGTGTATGCGTGATAGTCACTATCACAGTTTTTGCTTTGTGGAGTTTGAAGCCGTGGGAATAACTAAGCATAGCTTCTGTGTATTAATGAGAGAGGTTCTGGAAGTGGAAGGTTGTGAAATTTTTCAGAATTCAGTTCTTCTGCAGGGTGCAGTGTTTGCACAGAGAGCTCTGTTCATGTGTTGATCAACCTTTTTCTTCTTCTAATCTCTCCATGAAATAGATTTAATGTGTTCAAATTCGCCTGCATGTCTTTAGCCACTTGTGATTAGTTCTTGAAAGCAGAGGATAGAGTAGTTTTCTTGCCTCTTTTGTGCCTCTCACACTGAGTTTAGCATGTGCTGACCGTTGTTTATTTTTTAGCTCATTTAGCTACTGATGCCGTATAAGATACCAAACATGTGACACATGGTTCCAGCTTTATGCGACTTCTGATTGTAGGCTACGTGTTTAAAAGTGCTGCAAAAATGCGGAGGCAGAGTGTCTCCGTTGCTGACTCTTTTAGCCATACATACTGATTTTTACCTTCGATATTTTTTCATCCATGACCTGTTTAAACATCTCATTTTTGAGACATGTTCTACCTATTTTAGGCTTGTTTTGTTTGTACCTTTTTGACTAGATGGCAAATGGTGTTTAAAGTGACCTTCTAAAGAACCCCGTGACATGCAAACTCAGGATATATTTGCTGTTCAAGTTGTATGATTAGAACTTAAAGGTTGATTTTTACTAAATAAATAATTAATTAATGAATTTGTGTCTGATGCATGGTTATTGCTTCTAATACAAACTTAATGTTGCTGTTCTTGCTAGGAGTCCTGCTGATGACAGCTTCAGAAAATGAAGATAATGACATCCTGTGGTGTATCAATCATGATTCCTTCCCTTTTCAAAAGCCGATGATGGAAACACAGGTACTAAGGCAAACTTTTACACAACTTTGATGGGATCTACATACTAATTTTTCCTTTCTGATAACAAATAATTGAATAATAGTGTCTGCAAGAAACAGTTAGTTCACAGAAAGCTTCCACAAGGAGTTTGGAAATGCTTACAAAGCTACTAATCAACATGCTTCAAACAAAAAAAAAATCAGTAGGCAGTTTTGTCAATGAATGGGAACTCATCTCTTAGTAGGAATTCCTAGTTCAGCAATACTTCCTAGCTTGATGCAAGCTGTGTATCAAAAGCAATTACTTTGGCTTCTAAGACTTGGGTTCTAATTAACATATTTGAAAATATTGTTGTCTATAGCGTGATGCACGTTGTGCCCAAGCACAGGAAGACATGGTCCACAGTCCATAGTGGTGTTTGCTGATGAGAGTAAAATTTGGCAAAGATTGTTTAAAATGTAGGTGCTAGAGACTTGGAGTTTCTTTATTTAAACTTATATGCTGCGTCTTCATTAAATTGCAGACATGATTAATCTCTTAATTATTTCACAATTTTTTTCGTTTTTTTTTTACTTGATTGTTATGTAAGTGAGTTTGTAAGAGGGATTTGGAGGGGCTTAGTTGCTTTATGCGTCAGTTCAGGGAGAACATTGCATGCATTCTAGCTCTGAAGGAAGTCTGAAGTCTGCCGAAGTAGAGGAGTGACATGTCAAAAATGGTATTATTGGAGGAGCAGTGGTAGAGTTGGAATGAACAGAGAGACTATATAAGTTAAAAGTTTCACAGTCAGGTTTTGATTTATCGGCTGTTTTAATAATATACAAAGGAGCTTTATGATTACTCAAGATGCCTTCCTTGCAAAAACTTACGCATAAATATCCCAGGTGCTGATGTCTCTTTTCCCCAAGACAGACTTCCAGCTGTGGGCAAAGATGAGGGATTAGGCAGGAAGTGCCAACAGATTAATACCTGGCTCTGAGCCTGGTGTGTCCAGCAGGAGTTTGGGTTTTTTGACAGCGGCTGGATCTGCAAGAGGCCAGGTCTGTTAGAAAGGCATGGTAATAGCCTGTCCCACAGAGGCAGAAGAGTTTTGGGAAGGGAATTGGCAGGGCTCGTAGACGGAGCTTTAAACTAGGTATGAAAGGGGGTGGGGGTGAAGTCAGGATCACTGGAAGGGAGCCGGAATGCAGTATGCCAGTGCTTGTGGGGGAGGAATGCACTAGCAAGATCGCGCAGTCTTGTGAATTAGCAAGGGATCAAGGTGTCATGCCAGGTTGCAGACAGAGCACAGGGGTTGCTGAGGGGTTGGTTACTGTGGAAACATCTGAGCATCATCAGGGGGCTCCGGGTACCTCATCAGGGACCCAACTCAAATGCGTCTTTATGAATGCCTGCAGCTTGGGCAATAAACAAGAGGAGCTGGAGATGCTTGTGAGCCTGCAGCGCTATGACCTGATTGGCATCAGAGTCATGGTGGAATGACTCCTGCGATTGGTGTGTTGGACTAGAGAGGTATAAACTGTTCAGGAAGGACAGGCGGGGGAGACGAGGAGGGGTGTTGCCCTCTATGTCAACGAAAAGCTAGAATGGATGGAGCTCCACCTGGCAAGTGATGATGAAAGAACCGAGTGCCTGTGGGCCAGGGTGAAAGGAAGGGTAGGAGACTTTACAGTGGGAGTGTGCTACAGACCACCCAATCAGGAGGACCAAGTGGATGAGGCCCTACATAGGCAGATAGGAGCTGCTGCTCGTTCACAAGCCCTGGTCCTCCTGGGGGATTTTAACCACCCTTATATCAGTTGGAAAAACAACA